CATATATATATATATACATATAAATATATATATATATATATACATTTATATAAATATATATACTTATATATATATATTTACATATATATATATATATATATATATATATATATATATATATATATATATATATATATATAATATATATATACTTATATATATATAATATTTATATATATATATATATATATATATATATATATATATATATATATATATATATATATATATATATATATATATATATATGTAATAAATATTGTATCATGTCATATATCACATTTTATGTCATGCAAAATGCATGCAATTTTTAGTTTTTAAATTGTTTACAAAGACCAGTTGGAAGAGGTTGCAGTGCCTCTAACTATAAAATATATATATATATATATATATATATATATATATATATATATATATATATATATATATATATATATATATATATATATATATATGTATATATATATATATAAATACATATATAATAAATATTGCGTCATGTCATATATCACATTTATTTTATATTTTATTAGAATAATCATTGATAAATATTTTTTTATACAATGAAAACTACTTTTAAAAAAGAAGAACACGAAAATCATTCAAACTTAACTTCAGTTACAGTGGCATTCATATTACATACAACCCAACACTATCTATATTACAAACATATTATAACTAAATAAGAATCTAAAACAAAAATATATAAAAGAACTAAGAGAAATAATAATAATATAAATAAGAAATCAATCTATAAATCAATTTATAAGATCCTTATTTATTATACTTACTAATAGTAAAGTTCTAATTATGAGTTGTTTACTATTTTGTTTAAATAGGATATAAAAGGATTAAAAACAGTTGGCACTTAATAGACTTCCTAGTTAGTAAAAAAACTTTTTTTTAGAAAAATTATTTTATCAAATAAAGATACAAGATTTTGAACATATGTGAAAAATCAACTTCAAATAAGGAACCGAATTATGTTAAAGTAAGTGTAACCTAATGAATGATTAACCTAAGCCTTACTGAAATTGTATTAATTCGATATACTTTACAAATTACATTTTTTTACAAAAATAAAACAAAAAGCTTATCAGAATTTTGTTAAGGTTTTATCCATATTTTATCTTAAATTATATATATATATATATATATATATATATATATATATATATATATATATATATATATATATATATATATATATATATATATATATATATATATATATAAATATATATATATATATATATATATATATACATATATATATACATATATATATATATATATATATATATATATATATATATATATATATATATATATATATATATATATATATATATATATATATATATATATAAGTACGAGTACAAGTTTTATACACAGCATTGTATTCACACATTGTATTCATTGATTGTAATACCTTGACATTTGGTGCCAACAATATTTGTACATAAAGCACAGGGTAAACTTGTGAATGAGGTTAGTTAAAAAATTGAACAAGTATTCATTTTTAATTAAACCGAAACAAAACTGAAATAATAGTGTTTAAGAAAAATAAATAAAATTAATTAAAAGATAATGAAAACAACCTAATCATTTCCTTAATCATACTCTTTTATTCTAAAGTATTTTAAAAAGTTATAAAACATATTGAATATATTAGAAGGAGCTTTGGATAAGCAGGAGCCATTTACAATATATTTAGTTGAAACACTCTTGATCAATATAAAATGCTTTTAAAATGGTTTCATGTTTAAAATGTTTCATGAAATAAAAAGTTTTGAAGAAGTTGGTGTTATCTGTGACATGACTGGAAAGGCATACAAAATAAAATTAGAAGCAGTTATTTGTGATGCACCAGCTCGGTCATTTCTTAAGTGCATAAAAACACATAAAGGATACAATTGTTGTGAACGATGTATTCAACATGGTGAGTGGTATCAAAAAATAATTTTACCTAACTTTTCTGCTCCACTAAGGACTAATATAGACTTTTTAAATCAATATGACACCATACTGCTACATCTCCTTTCACAAAGTTAAAATATAATATGGTAAGTGGATTTTCAATAGATTATATGCATTGCATTTGTTTGGGTGTTGTCCAAAGAGTTTTAAATTTATGGATTTGTGGCCCACCGTCATTTTGTTTATTTTTTAGTTGATTTTGCCATTTTTAATTTTTCAGTAAATTTAGCTTTTCAGTGTTTATTGCTGAATACTACAAATAGGTTTTAGTAATTACATTTATACAACATACTAAATACAATTTACTTTCAAAATAGTTTGTGTGTAAGGTAAGTGCAGTGTTATAATTTTTGAAATATGAATTGTAGGTAATGAGAAAGAAGCCTGGGAAAAGGTTAAAGTAGCAGAGGAGACATCTAATGTTGAAGAGATGTTTATTAATCAAAAAAGCATGGTGTAAGCTATTTTGTGTGCCTTAAATTTACATTAACTTACATAGCAACATTCTCGTTTTTCTGTCTACTTTTTTTATTTTGTCTAACAACAAAGATGATGGAATTTAGAGTACTGATTCGGAAAGTAAATACAGCAACAAGTGTTCTGTTTATTTTTCAATTATTTTAAGTAATTCTAATTGCATTAGTTTTTTTGCAAAATATTATTTCTCCGTTCTTGTATGTTATGTGTATGTAATAATATTTTAAATTAAATAAGAAGTTTTAAATAAATTGTTTAAAAAGTCATAAAAGAAAGAAAAGAAAGATGTCAGAAAAGCTTCCTAGGCCTGTAATACCAGAGATAGAGTTTGGTAGGAAACAAATTTTACTATATATTTAATGATTTAAATATGATAATCATCAATAAAATAATTCATCAGTGCATGAGTAAAATCAATTTTCAATTAAATTATGTATTGATTATTAGGGTGGTCCAAAAAAAAACATTTTTGAAAAAAATCTGCTCCACAACCCTAAATGTGTTCTATATAATACAAACACACTAGGTTTACAATTTTTTTGAATAAAAAATATTTTTAGCCCCTGACCCTTATACATTTGACGGGACCCTAATATTTTGAGAAAAAAAGTTCTTCTAAAATATGTCCGCCTGGCACTCAGAAGAAGGGAAATTATATTAAAAATTCAAAAATATTAATAATTTTTATATAAAACTTTTTATATAAAACAAATAATTTTCATGCGTCATTGCATAAAAACTGTTGTTTTTAAGCTGAAAATAAAAAAAGTCATAATCTTCAAGTTTTTTGTAAATAGTTTTTTTAAACATCTATGTAAATTAATTTTTAAACATCTATCTAAATTAATTAATATTTTTGATTTTTTAATATAATTTCGCTTCTTTTGAGTACCAGATTGACAAATTTTAAAAGAACTTTTTTTTTCAAATTATTAGGGACCCATCAACTGTTTAAGGGTCAGGGGCTACCCCTAAAAATATTTTTTATTCCAAAAATTGTAAACCTAGTGTTTTTGTATTATATAGAACACAATTAGGGTTGTGGAGCAGGTTTTTTCAAAAATGTTGTTTTTTAGACCACCCTATTGATTATATAAATAAAAAACTGTAGCAATACTAATGCAATATGAAATAAAAATATTGATTTTAAGTTAGTAGGGAATGTTCATTTTGAGAATAGAAATAGTGCATTGTTTACTCCTGTGTTATGCCCAAAATCATCAGTTAAAGTTTATATTGCTGATACATGTTAGACTGCTACAAATATTATAATTTTCATATCATTCCCTCTAAAAAATAAAACGTTGATTTGACGTTGATTCAATGTTTCTCGTCAACATTGATTCCATGTTGATTTTGATACCGCGAAAGCGATATCGAAACCGTTTTAATATATACATATAGTTAAAATATATATCAACAGATTATGCAATATGTATATAAATACTGCGTATAAACATATGTATTATATACGTAGATTCATGTACATATTATTTTATACGTATACACAATAATTTTGTATATACTTATGTAACATGTATATTTTATTAACATGTTGTAAATATAAGATTTACCAAAAACTGTATTGAAAATATAATAATGAAAGAAAGTAGGCGTTGCTTTAGTAAGAAAGTTTTTTGTTGACTTTAACAAACAAAATTACATTTACACATATAAACAATTTATTCAGCATTTGCAGCGTTGCTCATTTTTAAAACTTTTCGGTTGAGCCGTGTACCGGATTGCCTTAAAAATTCTGAAATGCCTGAATGCCATTCGCTAATTTTAGCATCGTGATGCTGTCGTGTAATCGCATCTAAATCAAAAATGCAAATCAAATTTGATAAAAAAATCGAACTTCAGAAATTATTGAAAATAGTTACATAAATAAATGACTCACTGAGATAAACAAAGTATAAATCCTGTACAAAAAAATAATCTGAAAAAATGTATAAAACCTTTCTTACCTATTATCATATGATACAAGGTGTATGTTTTAAAATTTATATTCAAAGAACCGCCAGAGACATTGAAACAGGCCCCAGCGTCCTCGCTCATTAACAGCTTCCCAATAGCAAAAGTCGATTTATATGGAGTATTAACTCCACAACGGCTAAGGGAATTTATCTAGAATAGAAAATGAAAATATTTAAGAGTTCGCAAATTACGTCAAACATTTTGGGCGGACAGTCCTTTTATTTCAATTAAAATTGGAAGAGGGGGCAAATAATTTGTGACGTCGCAGCCAATTTTAAAAACTGAATAAAATAAAATTATAAACTTATTTTGCTACTTTTTAAAATACACAGCTAATTGTATATTAAAAATGTAATGATGTTTGATGCAAGCATTGATTTAAAAATAATTATTTAACAAAAACACACACAAATTGAAGTGATGTGACAAGGAGAAGGGGTTTGACAATTTGTAACAAAACACGGAGAGGATCTGAAAAGTTGTGTTGCTTGACGTTATTTGCAAATGGACCTATATGTTTGATACCAAATAATAATATAGCAATAAAATGGAGATTGTTAACTTTTATTTCATAACAATTGTGTTGTAATATATAGCAACTCACCACTCTACCCTTGAAAACATTGCTAGCCTTGACTTTTTCTTCAAGTAAATCCACATCAGATTTTGTTAAGCATCTTTCAAAAATGGACTCTGTAGATGATATACTAGCGCTTGCTGTTGATGTAGATTGCTGTAGCAATAACTTATCCACCTACAAATGTAAGAAAAACTTATTTTTTTACCATTTATAACAAAAGTACATCTAAATCCAAAAATTAAACATTGAATAGAATATCGAATTATACTATATGACTGCAAATTCAATCTAGTCTTAAAAAGCAATTATTTTTTAAACTAATTTTGTTTTTTTAAATATGTAACTGTATTAGATTAGAGTCTTAAAGTTCTATTTACCGCTTCCTTTCCATTTTATTTCTAAATTAGTTCAATTTAGTAATCAATCATTGTCATAAAAAAATATTATATCTTACGCTGATATTTTACAGTATCAGAGCGGTCAGAAAATTTTCATGTTCATTTTCCTAGACTTTTTGTGGCTATAAAAAACTCAGTTATACATGTATTATAATCCAAAAGTTTAACGTGTGGATTTACAGAAAAAGCAGCAATAAAACTCGCATAAATTTGTCCTTAACTAACTTTTTTTCCAGGCTTCTAGCTTGCTGGCCACCCTGATTATGTTTATTCTTTATGTATGAAATTCTCTTGATTTAAACACATGAATTTTTCTCAAGTCGTTGAGTTGAGTCAAGTTTTTGATTCTATTCAAAATTTTGAAGATTTGTGGGAGCCCTATGTAATACTTGAAATTAAATAAAAAACAGTAGTACCTTCTTATCTATCTTTGCCATCCAGGACAACACAACTTTTTGAAAATCTTAAAAAAATATATGTAATGAAATGTTAAAAATATGAATATTTTGTAAAAAATTTACATGAAATCTTACCTAAATGGAAAAAATAAATAGAACCTAAACACATTAAAATGCATATTCTTAAAAATTTAATTTACCCTGAGAAGACAAGTGTGTCTCTCTGCAATCCTCCTTATCTGAAACACAAGTTTTAGAGCCATATTCATCTAAATAGAATACACATATATATATATATATATATATATATATATATATATATATATATATATATATATATATATATATATATATATATATATATATATATATATATATATATATATATATATATATATTGAAATCACGAATTGTATTTAATTTTCTTAAACATATAAATTAGATTTGTGAACATTCTTTAACAGACTCGTGCAGTTATTCAGAGTTTCTGTTGTTTAACTTAAATTCTTATTCCTAGCAACTTCTCAACAAACATATATGATTTCTGTTATTATTTTTAATACTTTTTTTTTTAATAATTTAATTTTTTTTTACCGATATATTTGAAAACAACTTTGATTTTTCTTGGAAAACATTGGTTTCTTTTGCAAAGTCAATGTTGTTTTCAGCAACTGAAAAGCTTGCTACTTCATTTTGTATGTGTGGAGTTGTTAATGATTTTAGAACTTCTATAATTCAGTAAAAAAATTAACATGTTTATCTTAACAAAGCATTATTTTAATTTTACAAAAATTGTTAACCTGCTATATTTGAAATCACTTTAGATATTCTTTGGTCATTTGAACTCAAATAATGTCTTCCGTGTTGTTCTTCATCACTAACTACAATATCTTTATCACTTTCACAGAATGCCATTGTCATCTTTCTTCTATAATATAAGTTTAATTGAACAAGTAGAGAGAGACTTTTAAGTTGGTGACCTTCTTTATATAAATTATTTTTAAAGGGTACATCGGTACGAAGAGAAGCATTTGTTTCCAATATTCTTACGCCCTGCATTTGTGTGCCAACTTCCACACATCTTTCACAGCTATGGTAGCCACTATGCCCTATAATGCATTTAACAAATGCTCTTGCAGGCGCATCACAAACAATAGCTTTAATATTCACCTGCAGCTTTTCATTTCCTTTAGTTTGCAGTTCTTTCATTTCATAAACAAAATCTTTAAAGTAGTCATCCAAATTACTTGGTTTTCCTTGACCATACTAAATTGCAACAGCATATGGTCCTTTTCTGTTAATTGTAATTACTATAGGCCAAATAGAAGTCTTTTTACTATTGTATATAGGTGCACCATCATTACTAACAATTATATCAAGCTTTTCCTTATTTCCAGATGTTAACATATAATAATCAATTGCACTCTTAACTCCAAGATATTTATAATCACCTTCACTAACATATAAAACATCAATTTTTGGAAAAGATTTTTGTAACGTCTGCCTGCATTTTGGCGTAGATGGAGTAAATTTATTAAAGTGTTTTAAAAGTGCATTTAAAGCATCATCTTTTATACTGTATTTTAATGACCACTCGTATAAAAAATCTGTCGTTAAAGTTTGAGTATAAATACTACTGAATAAACTATTTGCAGCTGCAATGTCTTCAACATCACCATAACTTGAATCAGCTTTATTTAGACCAACTTCATTTTCAGGTGAAGTAATGGAAAGCATCAATGTTTTGCTTTGCACATCTTCATAAACTACATCATTGAGCACACCTTCAGAAACTCCAGAAATCACTTGAACACCTCAATCTACATGCTGACAATTCTCTCTACCAACAATATTGCACTCTTCAAGAAGATACTTTATTCTTTTTTCAGTGTCTCGTTTTTCTTTCATAAACTTTCTCATGTAGAGGCTTCTATCACGTTTTGGCATTATTATCTTTTCTTATCACCAAAAAAAAATTAATATTCATAAACAGGAAAAACCATTTAAATTGCATTTGGTACTATATGAGTTAAATTTGCAGTGAGAATTTATCAGGCAAATAATTTTAGCTAAAAACATTATTAATTTACTACTATTAATAGTCATATTATTATAAGCCTAATCAAATTGCTGATAAATTGTGACTTTTGCGTGGTGAATTGTGAAAATATTTTCATAATGTTTAATTATCCTCAGTTACTTAAAAGAATATCCTAATTTCATCAAGATAATATTTTTTCAAGTTAAAATTCATTTCCTACCGCACTATAAATAAAAAAATTACCATTTTATTACCACAAACAACTTTATTTTATTTAAACAATCATTAAAAAAAGTGCCTGCAGAGCACGCTATTCGCTCAGCTGAAAATAGCACGCTTAACATTCAATAAATTTGATTTTTTGTCAAAAGTAAATTCAACGAGTGTTTAGTTTTTAGGAGTAAACGTTGATTTGTTGTTGATAAAATTGCCGTTGAAAAAACATACATTTACAGTTGATCGCCGTTGATTGCTAATATCAACACGTAATCAACGTTGATCAACGTCAAATCGACGTTTCATTTTTTAGAGGGATTCTTTACTACTTTTTTTTTTTTTTAAAAGAAAAGGAAGTTCAACACAGACAAAATAAAACATGTTTTGATTTCGAGTCAGAAATTGTTGTTAGGTCAAAAGATTTGACTGGTCTTTCTTATAACACTACTCCGATGTTGAAAACTTTAGGTTATGCTACATCAGGTAAGATACTAAATCAATAAAAAACTTCTCCGAAATTGTTGCTTCTATTTGTTTTTTAAAAATTTATGAAATGCTTTCGATCAAAGGTATAAAAATGGTATCCAATAAAATACCATTTTGAGTTATTAAGGTTTTTTGTTTTTCTGAATTGGTTTTTTAATGTTTAATTTTTAAAACAGAAAAATTGTTGTTTAAAATTTTCGCTGCACAAGAAGAAATAAAAGAGACCCAAAAGTTAGATTCAGCTATGTTGCACAACATTCAGCAACAAATTGATGCAACACAAGGCATTTTGGAGGAACAATTTGAGTTAAACTTACCTCTTAAAACAATTGAAGACGTGGAAGCTTTTGAAAATAAGTTGAACGATGAAGATTTGAAAAAATATTTGGTAAATTATTACCCAGCCAATCAGTGTACATGGGTCCCGTAAGGGACTTATATGGGCTTGGATACGGGACCCATAAGGGTTTCCCAACGGGATCCCAGCGGGTGTTGTCCACGGCCCCATATGGGAACCGTAAGGGTTGCCGCTGGGCTACCCATAAGGGTCCCAGACATTTACCATTTGTTTGCCCTTACGATTCCCATATGGGCTTTGTCTGTTATTTCGCTGGGATTCCCATAAAGATCCCGTAAGTTTCCGATTTATTTTCCACTAATTGGTCACATACGGTTTACTTATAATACGTGTTTTAACGTTTTTATACACAATTCAATCATACAATGTCTGTACGTATAAACTCTATATTTATTATTGTTTATGAACATGTGCAATTTACAAATGGATGTAGGCATAAATGCGTATATTAAAATTATTGATTACGCAAATCAGCTCGATATTTTGAAGACTTTATTAAAAAAAAGTAACTCTTACATAAAATACTACCGATTTTGATAAATTTTTTCTTCATTTATAAAAAAAAGATTAAACAAAATACAAATCATATTGAAAGAGATCGGTAGATGCTTTTTTTGACCATCAATCTCAACTGAGAGCCGTCTTTGTAATTTTCGTGATTGCAAATCGACGACCATCAGTGCCACGATCTCTAGCATTAGAAAACCATTTCGACAATTCAATTTCAATATCTTTAATAGTGCATTGTTTTGTGTTTGGGTTCAGTTTCACAGCACCTATGATTGCAATGAAACTACACTGTATTAAATTAATCAATTAAAGTAATCAATAATAACTAGGGTTATGCATAAATTTATATTACTTACTAAAAAAAACTTGGCAAAGCAATAGTGCTTTAAACGATTTCTTTCCTTTTTGCCCTGTCAAATTGAATTGGCGAGCAAGAAGGCCATCAAGTAGAACAGGCATCGCTCTCATAAAAAAATTTCGAAGGTCTTCACCACCAATGTCCGATAAATGTTTTGCCTTAAAGAAATGACATAAAATAAAAAAGATGTAATTGTCACGTTCGATCACACTTCTTTTAAACAAGCCTTACTCGACAACATTTTAAACCGAAAAAGTTTTTTATAAAATGTTAAAAAACATATTTTAATACACAAGTTAAGTTTAATTAGAATTAAAAAATTTAATCTTGAGCACATCAAGTGATGCGGCTAAAATAAGTTTAAAACTCTTATCAGTAAGAAATCAGCAAAAAAAATTATTTTATTTCTCCTTCCTGACTTCTGATTATTATATCATTACCCCTGATTGAGTAATGATATAATTAGTCCACCATCAGAGTTCAACCCACCCATATTACTTTTTAAAATTAATCTTTACTAAACTTGAGTTAAATTTGTAACTATTTTAAACTATTTTAAACTCACAAGAATTTTTTTTCTCTCTGCGCATAGTAACTTTTCCTCCAATGTGTCAACTTCAGCTATAGATGTCAGTGGCAATTTTATATCTTCTGGCAAATCAAATATTTCTTCTTCATTCACTCGCACTTTGTGTTTAATAGAATGCAGTAGTGATGTATATACTTTTAGAGTTTTTTTTAACTCCTCAACATTGCTAACCAAAGTTGTTATCAAATTAAATATAGTTTGCAGGTTAGCAGTTTGACTTAAACCGGAGGCTAAATAAAAAAATAAAATAATGCAAAATAATGCAAACAGTTATCTTTAACCAGTACTGCAGATTTATTAATGTAGCACTCAAAACAAACCTTTTTTTTTTGAATTTTTAAAACATTTGTATTTAGCCCATTCAGAGAATGGTTCATATTAAACCTTTTGAACTTTAGCAGTTTGTCAAGATTTAAAATAGTGTAAATTATGTTGTTACTTTAGAATTACCTGCAATTGTAGAACTCAACATTGGAACTGATGTTGCTCATTCAGGAGATAAAGCAATGGGCGGCGAAAATTGTTCGCTATTCCATATATTCAAGTCATTAAAATGTTAGTGTCTACAGGTAATAAATATAAATATATATATAAATAAGGAAAAACAAAAAAACTAAACTTGTAAAAAAAAAAATTACTTTGGTTCTACACTGTGCAATAGATCGTTTTCAGAATCCTCATTTTCACTTTCTCTGTCATAACTGATCTTTGTCACTCTAAAAACATCAATATAAAAAAGACAAGAACATAACATTTTTTTAAAATATAATCTGACATATTGATTGATTTACTATACAACAAAAAATAGGTTGAGCATATATTCATAAAAAAAAACTATCATTGCTTTATTATATTATTAACAGCTCAATGACACAAAAATTAAATAATCAAGTTTTTTAAAGTAAAATTATTGTGCTCATTTAAAATAAAATGTTTTGATTCATTTATAGATAAACAAAAAAGTCATTAAATACATACCGTCTTTTTTTGTTTTTCCTGAAAGTTCCTGAACTTTTTTATGTCTCCTCAAAAGCATTTTCCAAACTAGATGTGTCTTCAGCTATTTTGGCTTTTTGACGAGCATTGTTCAGATTGTCTAAAAATTTGTTTCAAAATAAAAACTGATAAATAGTCATGTATAAATATACATTAAATGAAGAAAATAACCTATATGCAAAAAAAATTTACTAGCTAATCCCAGCACCCTTGCTATGTAGAATGGCCAATTTATCTCTGCATCATAACTGTTATTTTTAGCTTTAGTAACAGTGTTGGGATGTTTGAATGGTGGCCAATGGCACTTTGATGTGTTATTTGTAATCATTAATTGGATATTATTAACATCCACTCCCTCAAGCCATTTTAATGGAACATAGTCTGTCTCAGAAGTGGTATCAAATGCAACAATTGCAAACATATTTTTACTCAATTAATTTTACTATAAACTAGCTTTAAGACTTACTTTAAGAACTTTAAATGTAAATTTAAAGTTCTTAACTTAAGGACTTTTATTTATTTTTTGTTTACACAAAAGTAAACTTTCAAACAAAAAAAAACAAAAAAGATTTCCCACTATACTTTTTATACGATATGAAATAAGAAATGCTTTAAAGCTTTTAAATATAATAGTTATGTATCTTTTTATTATAATGTTTTTATAATTAAAGTTTTTAAAAGTAAACTTTCTATTAATAAATACTTTCTAAATAGAATTTTTTTCATAATAGTTGAAATTTTAAAAAAAAAAACTTAAAAATAAAAAAAAGACAAGCACAACTTTCAAAAAAAAAAAGTGACATGATTATTAATAAATACTAAATATATAACAAACATTAATACATAAATTATTTATTCTTTAAAACTCAAGTTTTTATACACAATATTAACTTTAGTAAAAATGCATTTGAGGGATTACAACAAAACCATTTTTATGTGGCAACAAATAATATTTAGTTCTTAATTTTTTCAAAGAATAAACTTTTACAAGATATGAAAGTTTTTCAACATAGAAAACAGACAGTAAAGATGAGCCGAGTGGATCTGTAAAAAAAGGCTCCTTACGCTCAAACTCTACATAAACAACAATAGCATCAGATTCATTTGAATCATTTTCAGCAAGAATATTTTTAACTAAACAAACTTTGATGTCTATTGCAAAGCAGTTGTTTCCATTTTCGTTAGAAACAAGAAACTGAGAACCAAAATATTTTTTATATTGTGAAAGGTGGCATAATGGCAATGGAACTGGACCTTTGAAGTGTATTTTTTTAAATTTAGATTTGAAATCAACACCATTTGTTTCAGAATGTTGTAGGTGGCCCTCTGACAATCTACATACAATTTGTGTAATTGGAGACTGTGGACTGCGAATTAATTTCTTAAGTCTTCCTAAATAACTTTCAAAAGGAAAAGAAGATATATTGTCTAGCACTCCAAATCTTCGAACATCATCTGGCAAGTGTTATACACACACTGGTCATTTCCATATAACATACAAAAATTAAGTACAAAATATTATAATAATTCTTGTGAATAATCTACATAGATGTTACATAAGGATGGACTAATAAGTATTCTAATAGCTACTGACAGACACAGAAAGTTTACATATAATTCTTTAGGCAAAATGCCTTTTAAAACAACAACACCAGAATATAAGAGAAATTGTCTTAGTTCTGTAGCCTTCCAATGTTTGTATTCCAATAGTGATCTAGGCTTGCGTGCAAATTCTCGAGGAGTATAAGTTTTCATTGAAACAAGTTTATTGGATATAAAATCTATTGTTGTCCTTTATAGTCGATAAGCAGACAAACCATGTATCCATTGATTTATAAGTCTACGTACAACTCCTAAACAAACCAAATGCATGTAATCTAGAGGAAATCCACTAACCAAGCCTGTATTTAATTGCAATACAGGAGATACGAAAGAGATACAATGATGAGCAGGGTCTGCATTATTTCGGAAACCACTGTCGGTTCGCAAAACTGCAAATAAATTAGGCATAACAACTTTCCCAAGCCACTCTCCAGTTTGCACACACCTTTTACAAAAATTATAAGCATTGGGAGGTTTAATGCCCTTTATAAAGGCCCGTGCTGGTGCATCACAAATAATTGTATCTAATTTAATAGAGTAACATTTGCCACTTTTTTTAAACCCTGTCTTCTCCAACATAATCATTTCTGAAACAAAATCTTCCATATATTCAGTAAGAGAAGTTGGTTTGCTTTTGCTAAAATAGATTGCAATCGGAAATAGACACCATCCTGTGTTTTTAACCGAGCAAAGTATAGGCCACATACTATTTGTTGAGCTTTTAAAAATTGGGACACCATCAATATTAATATGCAAATTTAATTGATTTATGTTATTATTGAGAGGATATCTTTCCGTTAAAATAGAAAGCCAATACTGTAGGCTAAAATAGAAATATTCCCCACCAGCAACATTTCCAACGTTAACATTTCTACAAGTACTAAGTAATGCTCTTGCATCTTTTGGCAAATCAGGATGTAACTTGTGCAAAAAACCAAGCAAATTGGTACATGCTGTTTGAGAAATGTTATACTTTACTGCCCAAGAAACTAACTTATCTTTTAAAGTTTCACTTTTATCGAGTTCTTCAGTGTAATCAGTATCCTCTTCATCACTGTCATCATTAATTCGAGCAACCCATTCTGGTAAGTCATTAAACTCTTCAGTGTTACAAGAGTCATCGAGCAGATAATTGAGATCATCATTAGAACTACTCACATCAAGTAATGGCAAATAATTAATTGGAACAGTGGAACTTGAAATTTGTACCATATTTATTGGCAAATTAATACTATTTGCTTCAGAAACACATGTTGATACATGTGAGTCAGGTATACTTAAACATGCACTATTTAATATTTGTGAAACCACAACAGCTATCTTACGCTTTTTCGTACGTTGTGAATAAAAATAGCTCATTCCAAATAAACTCTATTATACATTAGATTTAAATTTCTAAATGGAAAAAAATTATTAGTACAAGCTAAAAATGATTGTTTAATAATTACACTGTGCAGATAATTGCTTACCTGCATATTATAGGTCACACAATTTAGATAAAATAGCTAATAAAAACATATTGATTGAAATAGCAAACAAAACATATAGGTATTAAAAAAAGATAAAAGTAAAACGTAAGGACTGACATTAAAAACAATGGACAACTCTTTATGATTGATTAAGTTCATTTTAAAATCAGTAACATCAAGAAAAAAGGTCTTCTTTGTATAACTCAATTTTATATAACTTTTTATTGCAGTTACAAAGATGGATGACAATATATACAGCTATATACTTAGTTTCAAATAACCTATACAGACATGTCATTGTTTAGATTTATATTTTTAATTCAAAATGTTTTAACAAATAAAATATAAAAATCAGTCTAAATATACGGCCGATTCCATGAAAAGTGTAAGTTAAATTTTATTTCGGTAATAAGTTCGCCCTCTTTTTGCCAGAATCAAAACACTTTTTAGCTTATTTTTGTTCAAAATTAATCAAAAATATAAAGAACTTTTAGATTACTTTCAATTATGCAATATAAGAGTTGGCTTTTTTACTTTGATAGTTTAGGTACATAAAGTAGAAATA